TTCTGCATTGCGGTCATCGGAAGCCCGCCCCTCAGCGGGGCGGGCTCTCGATGATCGCAAGTACGATCTGCCCGTCCAAGGTGGGCAGATCGTATGAGCTTTCAATAAGCATACGACCATCGCAAGACAAAGGTCTTGCGATGGTCGTAAGGTGTATGGGCACCTTTACAATTTATCTGCAGATTTTCTGTGGTCAGATGGACAAAGTGCAACAGATTGGCCCAGGTGGAGATTACTCCATCCACCCAGTTAAGTGTAGGTGGAGGAATCTGTTGCACCGTTTCCATCTGACAACAGAAAATCTGCAGATAATTGTAAGGTGTATGGCCAGCCAAGGAAGGCAAATTAATTGTCGGCAAACCTCAGGTGGGGGTTTTGATTTCCTGGGTTTGGGAAACATAACAAATTAGGTCTACCTCTTTGGACCAGATTTGATGAATATAAAAATGTTGATATAAAGGCCAAGTCCTTGAGATGATGCAGCTCAGATCCTAATTTGGATCCCAGTTCACATATTTTACATTCCTGTTATTGAACATATGATTTTATTCAGTGCCAAAAATTATTTTCCTATGCAGCAGTTTCTACCAGCAAATTTATAGATAAAGGTGTAATTAGAAAAAAGCAGCAGGGACAGCTGTCTTAGGCCCAGTGAAGACAAAGAGCGTAATGTCATATTTATTTTAAAAAATGGAATTAAAATACCGGTGCGTGTGTGAGAAAGACAGCTGAGTTGTCAGAGACAGGTGACCTGACCCAAATCAAATCTCTGTAAATAATGCTTTAACTACCAGCCAGACTGACCTATTCAATCCCTGCCCTCCCTTCTTTTCAGTGGAACTGCTAAAGGGGTCCATTGGAAATTTGAGTGCTGTGGATAAAAATAGCTTTTTCCATACACTTTGCTCAGTTTTCTTTTAAGTGGTGTTTTTATTCCATTATTAACAAACGCAATACGTTTGTATGTACTATCTACAGTATAACATTAGCCATTTGCTGCTGTTCTGAGGGGCCAACTGCTGCCGAACACTTTGATCTGTAATCTTCGCTGTGTGGACTGAAGTAATAATACTCACTGCAGGAATGCATTTTTATCTTTTGTTGTTCGGTTATGTAGAATTGCTCAGGGAGTTGCATGTATAGGCTTGTAGAGGTTTACTATTATTTTAATGAGATTTAGGCTGTTTGGACTTGTATGTACTGTTTTTTTTTTTTTTTTGTTCTGCACAGTTAGGTTTACCCCTATAATTTGACATTAAAAATGTTTAAATGAAACTTCATTTAATACAATGCATTGAGAAGTTAAAGTAGCGCTCCGGGCATTCTTTTTTCAGTTTTGAGTACAGTACGAAGAGACCGAACCTCTGCCTTTTTATTGCCGCCTGTATCTCTGCTGGGGAGATTTACCATCTACTGTGCTGTCCCAGTGACAACTGTTTTGGATAGAGTGGGGAAGTGTAATGGTGACAAAAGACATTAGATTACGTCTAATCAGGCCATTTTTAGTTTGGGTGATAGTCCAGTGTCTGTAGTGCACCAAGAGGTGCTGCCAGCTGAGGCTTTTCTGGGGGAAAACAGGCTGAAAAACCCTGTCCAATTACATTTGTGTTTCCCCTGATGAGCTGAGGTAGGAGGTGTCTACAAGCGTGCCTCCTCTGCCTCTCTTCATAGACCTGAATACAGTTGTTTGCCCCAAGGAAAGTACTGGACTTCCTAAATCAGGAAATTGCCTGCATGTCTAATCGCGTTCTAAAATCTATGATTGCTCTTAGAACCACTGTTACATTTTGTCCTAAAGGGGAGATTTCAGCCACTTATCCTCTGACACACCCTGACACACAGACTGTCTCTTAAGGTGGACATACACTCTACAACCATCACAAGACTTTAGTCTTGCGATGGTTGTAAAGGGATTAAAAAAACGTACGATCTGCCTATCTTGGACAGGCAGATCGCACTCTCGATCATCGCAAGCCCGCCCCCCTGAGGGGCGGGCTTCCGATGACCGCAATGCTGAACGGGCAGTGTGCGCGTGCGCACACCGGCCCGTTCAGCATTTGTCTTCCGAGCACCGTTCTAACCAGCCGAGAATCGTACGATTCCCGGCTGGTTTTCGAACATGCTGGTTCGACAGAAGACGTGCGACCGTACAGTAGAAACGGTCGCACGTCTCCGTTCACACTGCTCGATTATCGTACGAAAACCCGATCGCATACGATTATCGTACGATAATCGTGCAGTGTATGGGCACCTTTAAAATGGGTTTTTTTTAAGTGTGAAGACAGGCAGCTGTACAAACTTCCATTTTATCAAAGGTTTTGGCTTTAACTTTTTTACTGATTTCACCTGACGTCTGCAATTTTGGGATGAAAACTTTTCAGATAGTTTAAGATTGGAAAATGATTTAATTTTTTTGCAAACAATCACTGAATTTGTGACATATTTAGGGCTGCAACTAATGATTTTATTTTCATAATCGATTAGTTGGCAGATTCATTTTTTTTAATTAATCGGATTAAAAAAAAAATGCCATCCTTAACTACCTCCCGGCCAGCCGTTGTGTATACACGGCCGGCCGGGAGCTTCTTGGATGTAACTGGGCGTGTATACACGTCCTGTTACATCCGCCCGCTCGGGCGCGGGAAATCGCCGCTATATGAAAACAGGCAGCGATACCCGTTAATATACAAGCGATCCGCCGGCTATAGAGCCGGCGGATCGCAAGTATGAGGTCCTGCGACGTGCGCCCCCCCCTCCGCGGCTCCCCCCCTCCCGTGGGGGGGTCCTAGGTGACATTAGGGGTCTTGGAGACCCCTGATGTCTCCATAAAGAGGACCTGCCACATATTTTGCTACCACATAGAGGGGTTTCTCAGCCCCCTCTGTGATAGCAATAAAGTTAAGTGGAAAAAAAAAGGAAAAACATTTAAAGTTTCCCCCCAAATTTTTAAAAAGTTACACATAAAAAAGAATGAAAAAAAACATTTTTTTTTTAAAAGTCCCCACCCCTACATACACGCATGTAAACATGCGTCAGGTGTGCATACCTGCGAAAACGACGATTGTGCCCATTACGCCGCACATGTTACATATCGCCGTGAACGTCGGAAGGAGAGCAATAATTTTAGGGCCATCAATCACTGATAATTCTAAACTGATGAGCGGTAAAAGCGTTTTAAAGCGTCGCCTATGGCCAATTTTGGGTATGCTATTTTTTTGCGATTTCGCGAGTGCCCGCAATTTTTAAGCTTGACATGTTTGGTGTCTATTTACCCGACGAGACCCCGACTTTTATATTTTACCAAAAAAAGCGGGTAATATTAGTTGTTTTATAACATAATGTAAAAAAAACGTGTTTTTTTTTTCAAAATTTTCAGTAATTTCTCCTGAATATAGTAAAAAATAAAACCCCCAGTGTTGAATAAATGCCACCAAAAGAAAGCTCTATCTGTCCCCAAAAAATGGTATAAAATTAATTTCAGTACAGCGTACACCTGGTCTTCAAGCGGTTAATGTAAGATAAAAATACACAAATGCAGTGTTGCAAACAGAGTTTACTTTGCAAAAAAAATGTGCATGCAGTTTTATTCTAATCGCACTGCACTGGAACACACAGCATTGTGGTGCCGTGCATTTCAGTGCGGGCTATCACACTATGGGTGGGAGGCGCTTTTGGGGTGCCATAGAAATAAATGGCACTGCAACCCAGCTACAGCAGCAGAAGTTGTCAGGCCAAAACCGAAAATAACTTTTTTACCACATTTTTTTTTCATTTTAATTGTATTGTAAGCGCATGGTGCTTGGATAGCTTCAGCCAGGGAATGTCAGCTGCCAGTGGCAAGATTCTGCAGATGGCAGCTGAATGTAAATGCAGCAGGTAGTGGGCTGGTGCAATAACCAGCCTGCTATTGGCCATTTTAAATTGCAATAGAAAATAGAAGCCTGGCTATTGCACCCGCCAACTGCTTGCTATGCCCTCCTCCCAGCGTTGAGAAGAGAGCTAGAGGATCCAACCAACTAATCGTCAATGAGAATAGTTGACAACTATTAAAAGTTTAACTTTTGTATTAAAACTTTTTTTTTTTTTTTTAATTTTAGATTTCAGGATATAATTTCAATTACCGACAACACTTCTCTTTCCTGGGGCCCACTCCTTGGAGTTATGACATCCTGCCATTCTCTGATTTTCTTGGATGGAATCGTACAGGGGGATCCGCTGGATCTGAAAATGTTTGAGTACACATGCTGGGTATGTACTTTTGTTTAACCACTTGAAGACCAGGTGTTTAGACCCCCTTCCTGGCCAGGCCATTTTTCAGTATTCAGCACTGCGGTACTTTGACTGACATTTATTCCGTCATGCAACGCTGTACTGAAATTTATTTTATACCATTTTTTTGGGGACAGATAGAGCTTTCTTTTCATGGTATTTATTCACCATTGGGGTTTTTATTTTTTCCTATAATTCAGAAAATTTACTGAAAATTTTGAAAAAAAAAGTGTTTTTTACATTGCTGGGAAACAATCATTATCACCCAAATTTTTGGCAAAATATAAAAGACGGGGTCACGTCAGGTAAATAGACATCAAACATGTCAAGCCTAAAAATTGCGCGCACCCGTGAAATCGCTAAAAACTACAATACCCAAAATTTACCATAGGCGACGCTTTAAAAGCTTTTACCGCTCATCAATTTAGTTTTCTCATTGATTGATGGCCCTAAAATTATCGCTCACACTGCGACGTTCGTGGCGATATGTAACATATGCGGCGTAATGGGCGCAATCATCGTTTTTGCAGGTATGCGCACCTGACGCATGTTTACATGCGTGTATGTATGGGTGGGGGCTTTTAAAAATATTTTTTATTTTTTTCCATTCTTTATGTGTGACTTTTATTTTGGAAACTTTATTTTTTTTTCCTATTTTTTTTTCCACTTAACTTTATTGCTATCACATAGGGGGCTAAGAAACCCCTCTATGTGATAGCAAAAGATGTGGCAGGTCCTCTTTTTGGAGACATCAGGGGCCCCTAATGTCACCTAGGACCCCCCTGAAGAAAGTGATGAAGCAGAGATGTGCTACTTGTTTGAGTCATCTTAATTTATACAGCTGTGACTATAACACAGTTTTAGAAAATGCTGGTTGTGGAGACCTCTTCTATGCAAAATAACAGTCATACAAGCAGATCAAAAATACACACTGTGTACTGGCCAGGCTGAGCTGATTTGGTTAACCTACATGTATGTTTTTAAGATGCGAGTGGAAACCAATGCAAACATTAGGCACATGAACACATAAGCATCTATTTGTTTTTCCTCAGGAGATTGATACCTCAGGGAATCAAAATCAAGAGGCCATGGAAACCATGATTGTGAAACCAGGCCCTGAAGCAAAAAAGGTAAAAATCTAGCACCTAGGTATTAATAAATATGAGATAACATTGGTGTTTATTTAGTACTTTCTGGATAACTGATAACTGATGTTGAAGTTCAAGTCTGAAGTGAAGGAAGGCAGAATCTGGGTAAGGTATCTCCTCTGCTACTATGCTGTAGATAATGTGCATACCTAATATATACTGCCATACGTTTGTTTTTTTTCAATGGTATATATGCTTATATTGCAGGTTGACATTGAAGGCATTGTTGTCCTGCAGCAGTTCCCTTTCTCTTCAGGCCTACAGCGCATGTCGGTGGTGACACAAATCCTTAATGGGGATGAATATGCTGTCTACATGAAAGGAGCCCCAGAGATGGTGGCCTCGTTCTGCAAGCCTGACACAGGTTACTCAATTTATTGTATGCTGAAGGCAGTGTGGAACAAGGTCCTTTAGTACTCAAGGCATAGAAACCAAAGCCCCCCTTCCTTTCCACCCACCCACTTACGTGAATTGACTAGTCCATGACACAGACTCGGTGATGATATAAGTTATCTTGTGCTGCCACTACCTCGTTGCACATGAACATCAAGAAATAATTACAAGCACAAGCAAACCTAAAAACAAAACTTTAAGAATAAAATCGCACAACCAAAAACCTGTTCACATAGCCAAAATCAATGCTGTACTGACACATGTCAGCAGAGACCCAATCAGTACCGTTATGACAAAGCCAGAAATATGTCCATAAAGCTGGAATAGGTGCCATACTGATATAAAATTGGGGAAGAGGTAGAATATTTGTCAGGTTTTTTTTATTTCTGTATCTGTCCCTATTGAAAAAAAAATATTCTCATGTCCTGTCTTCGAACCACAGCAGGAAGTGAGAGAGAGTTTCTTCATATTGTGGAGGAACTCCACCTTTCACAGAAGGCTCCAAAACAGGTGTTGAGAGAGATACCCCAGTCTACTGTCATCATTTGGATTTTCCTTCACAGGGACAGGATACAAAGGTGAATCATTTTAATAGGGATACAGCCAAAAAGTATGACCTGGGGTTTTAACCATTTAAAACATCTATACTGAAAACGCATTGGAATGACAGATCCATCCTCACAAAATTCATAGTACATCAGGGAATGCCAAATAATAAGTTATTTGCAATCATTTCAGTATTTACATAATCTTGGTAGTCAAGCAGGAAGCTAATGAGACTATTTTATTTATATCAAACAGTTCCCATCAACTTCACGGAAGAGCTGGAGCTTTACACAAAGCAGGGATTTCGAGTTCTTGGTCTGGCATACAAGCTTCTTGAGAAAAATGAAAGTCAGAGAATCAAAGATTTAAAGCGGTGAGGCTCCAAAATGTACTCATGGCTGCAGGTTTATGAGCTTGCTCAGTAGAAAAACTGAAATACCTCTGCTCTTTTTTATGTATGAAAAGTATCTGTTATTATTTAACCTAATCTAGCCTATTACCTTCTGCTAAAATAAATATCTTCTGATTTCTTTCTTAATAAAATGATTGTTGGTATGCAGATTTGTAGAAGAGGCAGGAAATGTATGTATCCCTCTTCAAAAGAATTCCTTCTCACTTCTTGGCCAGGAGTGACAGAAGAAAGTGAGAGTATGTCTCCCTGTAGTTTGGAGAAATTCCTCCTTTGACAGAAGATCCAAAACAAGTGTTGAGAGATACTGCAGTCCCCTATTCCAGTGACAACTGTCATCATTTGTATTTCCCTACACTAAGACAGGATACAAAGGTGTATCTCCTAAACAGGGATACAGCTAAAAAGTATGACACAGGTTTTAACTAGACATGTGCGATTCGTTTCGTAGATTCGTAAGCATACGAAATCCGAATGGCAGTTTCCGAATTTATATCCGAAATACGAAATTCGGATACGGAATCCGTTAACGGAATTCGTATTTCGTTTTGCTTGACCAATCAGAGGTGCTCTTCTGCTGCTGAGAGTTGCATTACAGATACAGGCAGGAAATACGAAATTCCGTTGACGTATTTTTGTTCCGTTACAAACATTCGTTATATTGAAGGTAAAAAGCAAAGTACATTTATATTGGAGTTGAAGGTAGTTTTTTTTAAGTCCGAAATACGAAATTCGGATACGGAATCCGTTAACGGAATTCGTATTTCGTTTTGCTTGACCAATCAGAGGTTCTCTTCTGCTGCTGAGAGTTGCATTACAGATACAGGCAGGAAATACAAAATTCCGTATACGTATTTTTGTTCCGTTACAAACATTCGTTATATTGAAGGTAAAAAGCAAAGTACATTTATATTGGAGTTGATGGTAGTTTTTTTTAAGTCCGAAATACGAAATTCGGATACGGAATCCGTTAACGGAATTCGTATTTCGGATAAAAAACAACTACCACATCGACTCCAATATTAACAAAGGTATTTTTGCTTTTTAACGTCATCATAACGAATGTTCGTAAAGTTACGAAAATGTGCCGAAACTAACGAAAAATACATATTTCGTACGAATCCGAATTGAGTTTCGGATACGAATTATGAAATACGAAATAATGGATATTACGAAACTAAACGGAACAAATTTTTTGACGGAGCACAAGTCTAGTTTTAACCATTCCATACAGTGGTCTAAAACAACTATAGCTGGAGTTTCACTTTAATGTTAACAGTTAAATTATGTATTCTGATTTTGTTTTTTAATTTTTGGACATTTGGCACTTTATTGAATAATTAATTGTATTCATGAGGCCATTTGCAGGATTTTAATGCAATTTTGTACTTTGATATATGTTGGCCCTTTATTAAAGAAAACATGTACTAGGAGAATATGTAGGCTTACATTATTGACCTCTTTGTGACAGCCTGACTGCTCATGTGGCTTTAATACTTTCTGAATTGATGAGAATTCTGATTTAAGCTGACATTCTGTTCTGCATACTTGTTCCATGTCAGAGGCAGGCAGACCACTGTTATTCCTAGGAGAAGGTCAGCAAGGGAAGCCCTCATATCTGTCAGTGCAGGTTTCTTTTTAATATAATGTTTTATAATTCATTAAAACTCATCTCTGTGCAAAAAAACCCAAAAAACATTTTCCATGGGGCTGCCCCTTACAATGCAAGGGTAAAGTACTCATTTATGTCTAGTGGCTGGAGTAAAGTATATTTACTAAGCTGATACAAGCTCCAATCGGCTCCCTCTGGGATGCTAGATCTGATCCCTGCAGCCTCTTCTCCTGTGGGCTTCGGCAGCCTAAGGACCGCTGACACCATCATGTCTAATGCAGGTTTCATAGACCTGTATTAAATGTGAGGATGCCAAGTGACATTCCACAGCTGGGGGGAGAAAGGAAGAGCTGGGAGAGTGGAACCAGGTAAGTTACCTGCTTTACTCCAGTCCCTAGACAAAAACGAGCACTTAACTTTTTGCAGTGTGGGGGTAGTCCCAAAGCAAGGGTAGATTTTTGTTTGCCTGGAGAGTTCGTTTAAGGAACACAGAATCAGTAGTAATTTTGAGACAAATTGGTTACACTGCAGTTTTTAGGAGGAATTGGAGACTGGCAAACAAACATATGGCTTTGGTTAACCAGTTATAACCCCACTCCATGCATGCTTCAGTTGTCTGAGACCATACTGGTCCTTATTGAATCTCCTTAAAAATAGAACAGCCTGTTGCATCCTAATCCTGTAGCAGTGGATGCTTTGGTGGCCCATGGGATCAGTACTGCTTGATCTATGCATTCCCTGCTCTGAAAATCCTTCCTAACTCTGCAGGATCAAGATAAAGAGCATGCCAGTGCTCCTCCTAGCTCCAGACTGGCCCAGGTGGAAGTAGTATTACAACTTGATCAAACTGCTGGTAGACACCCAGTGGGATCTTCCAGATTGACCGGATGTCGTAGTCCAAGGAATTTACCAATTTAGCAACCTGCTTCATAGTTGGTGGTTCATGGCATGGCTGTTCAAGCCCAAATCGTGACAGAGGTCTCTCTGATTTGGTAATTTCTATGCTGTTAAAAGCTAGGCAGTCAACCTGTCACAAGGACTATAATTGCATATTGAATGCTTACTTCTCTTGGTGCAAGGAATGAATCTTTCACTACAGAAAATACTCCATAGGGAGAATCCTGGCCTTGTTGCAATCTAATCTGATCAGTATTTGGCCAGAGTACCATCAAGGGGAAAATCTTGGTACTTGTGGGCGGTTTCTAAAGACCACTAACCTTCCATTCCTTGGTTAAACCTTTGTACAGAGTGTCTCATGTGACTCAATTGGTTTTGAATCTGGTTCTATCTGCTCTTCAAAGACCACCCATTAAACCTATCAGGGATATTCCCCTTTTTACTCTCACCCACAAGGTTGTGTTCCATGTTCCCACCTCATCTGCAATTGTCCTGTAAAGAACCCTTCCTGGTCTTCCAGAAGGATAAGGCGGTGTCAAGGCCTCCTTCCTTTCTTAAGGTGGTTTCAGCTTTTCCATCCCTTTGTCCAGCTCCCGTGTACTGTAAGGAAATTTCCTCCATTGTCTAAATGTGATCTGTGGTGTTCCAGAGTATCTCTCTGCCACTGCTCCCATCAGGAAAAGGGATGACCTTAATGGAGGTATCAGCTTCTCATTTTTGCCATCTCTAGGTGGCCTGATGTCAAAAAGCTTCCTGGGCTTTTCAACATCAGGCAACTGTTTGCCAGGTTTACAAGACGGCCAACTGGCCTTCTGTTCACACATTCTCTAAGTTTTATCAGGTAGATCAGGTCTTTATCTGATGCCAGCTTTGGGTGTAAGGTGTTTTAGGCAGCTTCCAGTTTGTTGTTTTGTGGGCCTGTTAGACTTTTTGTCGCACATAAAAGTGCACAATAAACCGCGGGGGAAAAAAAATCCTATTCGTTCCTATGGCCCCCGTTCACACCTGAGCATTTTGTCGCAAACTGTAAATTTCCTGTGGCTGGAAAATGTACATGAGCGTCTTTTTGGCAAAAGCAGCAGTATAACCCAATTTCCTCAGAATTACTACTGAACTTGTGTCACTTTATGAGCTTCAAGAAACTGATTTTACGGTAAGTACAAATCCTGTTTTACACACCTGACTTTTACGCTATTGCAGGTTTATTAACAATTCTGTGTTTTGCTATAAGGGATGAGGTGGAATCTGACTTATCCTTCCTTGGGCTTCTGGTGATGGAAAATCGTCTTAAACTGGAAACAAGGCCAGTATTACGAGAGCTCTTTAATTCGAGTGTCAGGACTGTAATGATAACAGGTACAAATCACTAGTTTATTATATTTTCATGGCACAGTTTCGTAAAGAGGGATCCAGGATGTGACATTTGTACCATTTACATGTAACCCCTTCCTATATTTAAAATGTATGTACAGTGTGTGTGTGTAGATTCTTTCTCTCTCTCTCTCGCTAGATAGATGGATAGATAGATATAGAGAGAGAGAGCGATTTCCCTTTACTTCCTGTCCTGGAGACGCAATAGGAAGTGAGAGAAAATATTTAAAAAGTGAGTGGACTTGCCATCTTAGACAGTTGTCACTGGAATAGGTTACACCATTGGAAGGTTTTTCCTCACCTCATGTTTTGGTGACAACTGTAAGATATGGAATTCCCGTCACCTAATGTTTCCTGAAAAAAGGAGAGGTTGAATTTCCTCAGCTGGGACTAATCCTTTCCTATTCTATCCAAACTAAAAAAAAAAAAGGGCCTTTGCTATGTATCTCTTTTTCTATCTGCTTGCCGTCCGTCCGTTTTTTTTACAACAGGCGAACGGCAAGCAGTTAACCATGTTATTTCAAATGTCATTTGACCAAATAAACTGTAGTAATATTTAATATGGTAATACAGTTATGTAAATGGTATTCGTAGAATTTTAGTACTGACCAGGTTGTATACACTTTCCAGAGAACATTACATTATCCAATTTAAAGGAGAACTATGAGGTGAGTGATTTCCACTCATCCTCATAGTTAGAGCCGACCTGTGACAATGAAACTGTCACAGGTTGGGTCACTGCTGCCTGCAGGGATTCACCCCTCTCCGAACCTCCAGCGCTGAGTTGATGAACGAACGGGGGAGGGGGTGGACGCAGCTGGCTCTGCCTCTAGATAGGCAGAGCCAGCTGTCACTCACGCAGCTGGGTGGATCACAACAGTATTGCCGGATCCGTCCCGGCTGCGGCGCTCTTAGTATATGGCTGGCAATAGCCTGTGATATACTGAGCTTTGGGTCAGGGGAAGAGGTTAGTATATGTCCTACCGTGACCCTGAAGAGAAGGCTTACCCCATGGTTCTCTTTTAATTACACTTCCTTGTTCTCTGTGCTGTATCACACTCTTGTATAACAATGCAGTGTTTATCTTCTAGGTGATAATCTTCAGACAGCTGTGACTGTTGCCAGAAACTCTGGGATGATAAGTGAAGGAAGTAATGTGATTCTGGTTGACGCCATGGAGCCCAATGAAACTAACCTGGCCTCAATCACATGGACCCTACTACCTGGTCTGAAGACAAAGCGTTTCGATGATGTGGTAAGAAGCATAGATATACTGTCTTTCAGGTCTGCACTGCTTGTACATGCCATTAAATATGCTAGCAATGATAAATATATGTTCAAAAACGTCCCTTTTTATCATGTTAAGTTTTTTCTGATTTAAATGTTTATACACCACTTACTTTAACACACTGAACACGTGTTAATGTACTGAATAAGGTGTCCACAAGTAAAATTATTGCAAATGATTCTGATGTAATTTTGTTTAACAGGCTGGTATTGCAATTTGAAATATCCAATAGCAGGCTGGCTATTGCTCCCAGCAATGAAGTAAAAAAAAAAAAGAAACGTTTTAAAAATATACTAAGATAAAAAAAGTTAAAAAAAATAAAGTTACATTAATAAGAAGTAAAAAAAAATAAAGTGAAATAAATGTAAAAAAAGTTAAATAAATAAAAAAAATTCAAAAATAAAGTTAAATAAAAAGTAAAAATGTAAAAAAATAATAATTTTAATA